TAAATAAATTATTTATTATAAATATTATTATTTATAATAAATAAATTATTTATTATAAATATTATTATTTATAATAAATAAATTGTTTTTGGCTGCGTTGGGTCTTTGTTGCTGCATGCGGGCTTTCTCTGGTTGCAGCGAGTGGGGGCTACTCTTCATTGCGGTGCGTGGGCTTCTCATTGCGTTGGCTTCTCTTCTTGAGGAGCATGGGCTCTAGGCACGCGGGCTCAGTAGCTGTGGCTCGCGGGCTCTAGAGCGCAGGCTCAGTAGTTGTGGTGCATGGGCTTAGTTGCTCCACGGCATGTGTGATCTTCCAGACCAGGGCTCGAACCCATGTCCCCTGCATTGGCAGGCATGTTCCTAACCACTGCACCACCAGGGAAGTCCAGGAAGCACAGAGTCTTAACCACTGGACTGCCAGGGAAGTCCCCAAAACATAATTTTAGTGACCGAATTCTAGTCCATTACTTATATTCATAATTTCTTCTGGAGTTAACCATTCCTTTATTTTTGGACAGTTGTGTCTGTGTGTGTTGTATATGTGTGTGTGTGCTATAATAAAGAACTCTGAAAAACAGCACATACTGTGTGATTCCATTTATATAAAGTGCAAAAATAGAAGTAATCTATGCTGTTAAAAGTCAGTATTGAGGTTATATGGTGGGGGGGGGCAGAAGTCACTGGAAGAGTGCAGGAGAGGCCAGTGATGCTGATAACATACAGTTTCTTTATCTGGGCGCTGGGCCCATGGGCCCGTTCTAGTGGTGAAAATTCATCAAGCTGTACTCTTAGGACATGTGCATTTTCTGTATGTATATTATACTTCAATAAAAACAAAAATAAAAATGAAAAGAACTCTAAGCTGAAAAATCCTTGTTTGTGTGTATATATACACATAAAAACGTGTGTGTATATATATCTAAGAATGATTATTTACTTAGAATTTTACACCTGGAACACCTGAGTGAGAAGGAATGAGCTGTTTAAAGTCGCCAATAACGCACTGATAAATTGCCTAAAAGAAAGGCTATCAGCCATTCACACACTCAGGGTCCACCTCCCTACACCCTCTCCAGCAGTGAGATGATCTTGTTTAAGTCTGCCTGTTGTAGCTGTCATTCCTTTATAAGGTCACTTTTATTTACCACATTTCACTGAGATGGTAGGAGATGGTTCCCTGCCCAAGGTGCTTCTGCGTACGTTACCTTTTATAATGTTAATAAATTAACTGAGGAGTCCCATAAACCCTGGATAGACATATTAACTTGCTTCCTGCCAGGACCATTTTCCCGTGTGTGGAAATATAACCCGTGGCGCTGGTAGTACATTGGGTTTTCTTGTTTCCCTGTTCCCCCTGCCCTAAGATGTTTAGCATATGGCATCTCTTCCTGGGGACAGCACAGTTCCCCAATCCCAGTGATAGGCTCTAAAGGAACCTGGCTCAGGTAAGTTACAAGCTTAGATGGACAGACCCATTAATCTGAACTCTGCATGTGGCCGTCTCTTCTCAATAGACCCGGCCAATCTTTGTCCATATTTCAAATTCAGACTTCCGTTCGATGTACCGCTCTTACTGGCGGTTACCCTAGCAGCGTTATTCTAACCTCACGGAAAGAGAGCTTTGTTAAAATGAACTACTGCTTCTAAGGCCTTTATATTTTACAAAATGCATTCACACACGACAGCCTGAATCCCCAAAACAATTCTGGGAGGTAGGTATGTTTATCTCCATTTTACAGTTGAGGCCCAGAGAGGTGAAGCTACTTGTCCAGCTGGAGATTGTCAAGGTCAGATCTTAAATCCCTGCTCTTCCTAAAGTATGGTGCCTTCAGCAAAGGAGAGCCAGAAGGCTGAGAATTACTTCGGGGAGAGGAGAACCCGCTTTGGTTGAAGGAATAATTGCTGAAGAGGAGTTGAGGATTAGAGGCCACAGAAGGAGTGCAAGCACGTTAGGCCTGTGGTTATGAGAGCCTGTGGCTGGACCTGCTCTCGTTATTATGGGGCCCGGGGGTGGGGGTAGGTCTCTGGGACTCCAGAGACCAGGGCTCCCTCTTGCTCTCTCCAGGGCCCCCATTTCTACCGCTTCCTGCTGCTCAGCCCTTGGGCAAGTCACTGTACTCTGAGTCTCAGTTTCTCCACCTGCAAAATGGATATAACTACCTCTCTCTGCCAATTTAGAAGAATTACTTTGAGGATCTGGTGAGATGGGGCATATGATGCTGCCCTGGGAATTTTATTTTATTATTTATTTATTTTTGGCTGCTTTGGGTCTTCTTTGCTGCATGCAGTCTTTCTCTAGTTGCGGCGAGCAGGGGCTGCTCTGTTGCGGTGGCTTCTCTTATTGTGGAGCACAGCCTCTAGGCACGCGAGCTTCAGTAGTTGTGGCACGCTGGCTCAGTAGTTGTGGCTCGCGGGCTCTAGAGCGCAGGCTCAGTAGTTGTGGCACACGGGCTTAGTTGCTCCGCGGCGTGTGGGATCTTCCCAGACCAGGGCTCGAGCCCGTGTCCCCTGCATTGGCAGGCAGATTCTCAACCACTGCGCCACCAGGGAAGTCCCGCTGCCTTGGGAATTTTAAAGTGTGGGGCACAAAGGAATCCCTTAAGCCGTGTCAATTGTGCTGAGGTTGAAAAACCCTGACCTACACCTTTGCCAGTGCTGGATATTGCCATTCTTTTTAATCTTGCCAATCTGGTAGTTCTAAAAATGATACCTTATTTTACTTTGTACCTCTTCAGGAGAATGGAGTTATTTTTACTTCCTCCTTAATATATTATTTGATTTGTTTGTTTGTTTTTTGGCCGAGGCTCACGGCTCGCAGAATTTTAGTTCCCCAACCAGGGATTGAACCCAGGCCCCAGCAGTGAAAGCGCCAAGTCCTAACCACTGGACCGCCAGGGAATTCCTTGCACTTGTTATAATGAACATGTAATATTTTTGTATTTTTCTGAAAAGCCATTAAAGGCTTTTTAAAAAGCTATATCTCTTTGCTGGTTTGCATGCAGTCTATTCTTAAGATTTGATCGTGTAAGTGCCTGCTTGTTTTTCCCTGATAAGATGTAGCAAGAAATCCTCAATGTGGGCCTTGAGAAGCTGTCAATATTTCAGGTTCAAGTACCCCATCCTGTGGCTTCAGAATTTCTCCATTTCTCTTCCAAAGTACCTTCTTCCAGCAGACACCGAGGCCCAGGAGCCACCTCTGAGAATCATTTTAGCCAGAGACATTCCTCACCACAGACCAGGGCTCCAAGACAAAAGCTTTCCCAGGCTGACCTTAGGGCACCCGAACACCTGCCATGGACTCAGCTGCCCAGACGCCAGGAAAAATAAAATCCTCAGGCTCCTTTCTTAGCTGTGAAACCTGAGATCCATTCACCCTGTGCACCTCCCAGGCATTACAGCCAGTCAAGGCCATGGGGCTTCTGCAGAACCTGGGGCTGCTGGTATCAGCTCTGGTGCGTCAAGGATGTGCTCACATTTCCCTCCTCTGGGTCCTGTCCAAATGGAAAAGGGCTAGAGCCCTGCCCCAAGCCCAGCCCAGCATGGCAAGGACCCCTAGAGAAGGGTCCCACTCCTTTTACTTGGCCCAGAGCAAGCCATAGCCAGCCTGAAGGAAGTGTCCATGGAGGACTTGTTGGTATTACCTGGATCCTCCTGAGAAAATGTCCCACATGGCAGAAATAGGCTTGCCTGAAGCCTTCGCAGATGGCCCAGTAGCAGACTTTCAAAGTGGGCAGGCAGCTCCTCCTGGCCCAGGGCCAGGCAGGCAGGACTTCTGCCAGTGGTTCTATGCATTTGATGTGCAGCTCACTGTGGTTTTACAGGAAGTAAGGGCAGATGTGAGGCTGCCTCGTCTAATGGCTCTGTCCACTCTCTGGAATCCACACAGATCCATTCACACAGTGGAATGGAATGTCCACCCTGTGAGGCCATGGATGCCTGAGACGCCCCTGCATTGTTGACTTAGAAAGAGAGAGAGAAAGAGAGAGACTTAGAAAGAGAGAGAGAGAGAGAGAGAGAGCGCGCGCGCGCGCTGTTAAGAGGCTCCCAGAGGGAAGGGAAGGGAGTGATGTGAGGGAAAGAACACCCACCCACAAGTCAGGGCCTGAGTTCTGCTCCTGCCTGGCTCTTTCTCTGGGACACATAAACCACTTTACTTCTTTGGGCCTCAGCTTTCTCGCTAATCGGTTATGGATAGCACTAACTCTTTTCCAATTTGCAATTTTCTTAAATAAAAACATTGTCAATTAGATAAAGCTGGCTAAAATAAATGAGAGATTTTAAATGAAGTTTAGAACCAGTCCAGTTCCTGTTGGTTAGTTTTTCTTATTCAAAAGTAATAGGTGCTCAGAACAGGGAAAAAAAAAAAAAAAAAGAAGATACAGCCAAGCGAAAAGTAGTTCATAGAGAATTCATAGAGAACACCCAGAATTCCACCGATCCAGAGACCGTGCTTGTTGGTGTCTTGTTGGGATCCTTCCAGAAAAGAGGTTCTTAATGTGTATTGGTGGATGGGCTTTGGGGGAAGAGAGCCCCTGAATGACTTAACAAACCCCCTCTCATGAGCCATTTAGGATATTTCCATTATTTTACCATTACAAAGAATGCCGTGGAGAGAGAAGCCAGATGAAAAAGAATTCGAACTTAATGAGAAAACAAGAAGAAAAACACAATCTGAACACCTGACAAAAATGCTTTAAAGGGCACAAAAGGAGTGCACAAAAGTTACCATTCAGAGACAAAGGATTAGTGCTCATTTTCATCCATTTACATTTAGGTCAACAAATATTTACCGGGCAGATGCTGTTACATGCCAGACCCTGTGCCAGGTGCTTCCCACCTGAAGAAGAGATCTTCTTCAGGTGAAGCAACCAATCCCACGGTCTGGTCCTCAAGTCAATGCCCAGCATCTGTGATGTCCTGCCCTGGCAGGAAGGGCCTGCCAGCTCCCTGTTGAGTCATTGACCTGTGAGCATGCCCAGACCTTCCAACAAAGTATCCGTGAACAGATGGCCACGTCATGGGGGCAGCAAGGCCCAGACCTTTGAGGACAGACTATGCTGGTGACACTAGAAAAGGTTCTGCAGCCTCAAGAGGGGATGAGTGGGGATGGAGAGAAGCTGAGTCAGCCCTGACTGGAGGATATAAACTGCTGTCCTCCCTGCAAAAAGCCCGTGTGCCTGAGAGCAGTGCTTTCCCACTCGTGTGTGTTGATCTCCTGGGGGTCTTGTTAATTGTGGATTTCGATTTAGCAGGTCTAGGGTTGGGCCTGAGATTCTGCATGTCTTAGTAGTTCCCAGTGATGTGCTGATACTTCAGACCAGACTTTGAGTAGCAAAGCCCTAGGGCAGTGGAATCACAGTCTCCTGGAAGAACTTTAAAAATATGGAAAGTTTGGGGCTTCCCTGGTGGTGCAGTGGTTGACAGTCAGCCTGCCGATGCAGGGGATCCGGGTTCCTGCCCCGGTGCGGGAAGATCCCACATGCTACGGAGCGGCTAGGCCCATGAGCCATGGCCGCTGAGCCTGCGCGTCTGGAGCCTGTGCTCCGCAACAGGAGAGGCCAAAACAGTGAGAGGCCCGCGTACCGCAAAAAAAAAAAAAAAATATGGAAAGTTTGTTTTCCCCCAAACCTACTGATTCAGAATCTTCCGGTCCATTTATTCAGTAGTTCTCAACCTGGACTGCATGTTAGAATCATTTAAACGGTTTTTTAAAAAGCCGATTCCCAGGGTCAAGAATCACGTGATAGCCTCCCTTCCTCCTTCCCTCCCTCCCTCCCTCTCTCTCTTGCAGCTTTAGTTTGAAAGTCTCCCACAGGTGACTCTGATGACCAGCCCAGCTTGCTTGGGGACCAGAGGCAGTGTTTCTGAGTCCTGGCTGCACATCAGAGTCACCCGAGAGCTTTACAACATGTTGATATCAGGGCCCCTCCCCGCAGACCAATTGATTGAGAATTTCTAGGGGCTGAAGCCAAGTGATTAGCGTTTCACAAAGTTCCCCAGGGTGCAGCCCCTAGGGTCGAGACTGATATAAAAATCATCTTGGGATTCTCAGTGGAAGTACAAGTTACCACACCCTCTCCCGAACATTCAGTTCAAGGTCTGGGGTGAGGGCCAGGAACCTGTATGTTTAACAAGAGATGCTCATGAGATGGCAAGTTTGGGAAACGTTAAGGTAGAAAAAAGATCCTTGGGTTGGAGTCAGAAAGACAGTGCTCCTGGCTGTGTGACTTCTCACAGGTCACTTAGCCTGAGATTTGTATCTCCATTGATAAACCAGAGATGATAATAACTGCCTGAGGCAGGGATGGATAAGATCTGTTTACCCGTCCATAGGACAGTTGTTGGAAAGTGGCTGCTACAGGCCAGGGACTCACATACCCAGCTCTGCTTTGCATTTAAGTGGGGCAGCCACAGGGTTCTGTCCAATGGAATGTGAGCATAGTGAGGAGTGCTCACCTGGTGTTCTGCTCTCTCTTTACTATCTGCCCATAAAGATCAATGCCCATTGGATATCAATGCCTGGGTGATCTTGGAAGCCACAAAGGCAGGTTGACAGAACCCCCTGCCCCTCCCCCCACCGGCTGCTAATTGGACTTAATGTGAGTGAAAAAAAAACTTCAACTGGGTAAAGAAAGTCACTGGGATTTGGCAGTTTAGTTGTTACAGTAGCTAGTGCTATATTAACTAACACACTGCCTCGAGGATTGTGGCAAAAACTAAGTTATCAAAAGCAGAGGCTGCAAACGAACTACACGAGGGCTTAGCTCTGGCTCACAAGTATGTTTGTTACAAGACCAACTTGGGGTCTATGAGTCGCCACAATCCCCACCACACCCTGTGGGATCATACCTGGCCGGCCTCATATCTACAGCATTTATGGCATTTCTCTGATCTCTGTGGCTTCCTGAGTCAGCGGTCCCTGATGTAATAGATGTAGAAGTTAGATGTATCTGCTGTTAGGATTTTTCACAGTGAATTCCTTTAGGTGACTTTTAATTCCCAGGAGAACCATTCATCCTGCCCAGAATTTGGAAGCAAAATCTCCTGAGTGATCCTTACTGGCTGAAGGATGTCATCCAGCCCCACCCCACCCTGTGACCATTTCAGCATCTGTTCTATGGAGGTAGCAGGAGGAGGAGAAAAGAACTCAGGTGCTGGGACTTCCCTGGCGGCCAAGGGGTTAGGACTTCACCTTCCAGTGCAGGGGGTGCGGGTTCGATCCCTGGTTGGGGAGGTAGGATCCCACATGCCTCGTGGCCAAAAAACCAAAACATAAAACAGAAGCAATATGGTCACAAATTCAATAAAGACTTTAAAAGTGGTCCAAATCCAAAAAAAAAAAAAAATCTTTAAGAAAAAACAGCAACAAAACCTCAGGTGTATCTGGGGATCAGGTAGACGCGGATCCCAGCTCCAGCTCTGCTGGTTCCTAGGTGGTGATATGAGGTGAGACATTTTCTGTTTGCCGAGCCTGTTTTCCCCTCTGTCAAGTGTGGACATTAATACTCTTCTTGTGGGATTTCTGTAAACCACCTGGCTAAAGGACACTGAGATGACCATGTTAATTCCTCCCTCTTTTCCTGTAGTGTGGGGACCAAGACCGGCTTTGTCCCCAGTAGTAAGGGGAAATCCAGTAGTATCTCTTTTTTTTATCAACTTTGAATTCTTTTTTTTTTTTAATTTATTTTTGGCTGCGTTGGGTCTTTGTTGCTGTGCGCGGGCTTTCTCTAGTTGCGGCGAGCGGGGGCTGCTCTGTTGCAGTGCGTGGGCTTCTCATTGCAGTGGCTTCTCTTGTCGCAGAGCACGGGCTCTAGGCCCGCGGTCTTCAGTAGTTGTAGCACGCGGTCTTCGGTAGTTGTGGCATGCGGGCTTCAGTAGTTGTGGCACGCGGGCTCTAGAGTGCAGGCTCAGTAGTTGTGGTGCACGGGCTTAGTTGCTCCACGGCACGTGGGATCTTCCCAGACCAGGGCTCGAACCCGTGTCCCCTGCATTGGGAGGTGGATTCTTAACCACTGCGCCACTAGGGAAGCCCCAACTTGAATTCTTTTGAAAAGATACAAATAATGCGCTTCTGTTGTAGGTATATTAATCTGCTCTGGCTGCCATAACAAAATACCGGAAATTCGGTGGCTTAAACAACAGAGATGTATTTTCTCACAGTTCTGGAAGCTGAAAGTCCAAGATCAAAGTTGCCAATGGAGGGCAAACTGAGAAGCTTATTTTCCTGGTGCATCTAGTTGCTCAATGATAAATAAAACATTATAGCAAGGTAAGCAAGGATATATTAAGGAATTTATGTAAAGTTCCCATGAATGTTTAGGATAAACTATGTGTCAGCAAAGGCATTATGGGGCCCCTCTAGTCATGCCTCAGTCTCCTGGGGTGAAAGTGTGACCTTGGACCAATGAATGACTTGACATCGCTGAGCCTCACCTCCCTCATCTGGAAAAAATGATTACTGTGCAGGTGAAATGAGGTGATGCATGTAGAGTGCTTGGGTTGATAAATGCTTGCTGTGCTGTTGTTTACATTATTGTCATGTTATGACCTTATGGCTAAAAACAGAGACTCTGGAGCTGGTCAGCCTGGATTCGAATCTCAGCTCCACCACTTTCTAGCTAGATGACCTTGGGCAAGGTCACTTAGCCTCTCAGTGCCTCAGTTTCCTCCTCTGTTAAGTGAGGCTAATAGGATTATTGTGAGGGTTAAATGAATTGATGGTGCCTGGACACACAGGAGTGCTATGTAAGTGTTTGTTCCATAAATCATAATGTGTTCCCTTCTGCCCTTAGAGGTCCTTCTGGAGAAAAGTTAGAAAATAACAGCTTCAAAGAGAGATGAGCTATTTCCAGACACTGATTTATAAAAGGAATGTATTTCTATAACACCAGTTGTCCTATTTGCCTTTTAGAAGATTTGAGAGGCAGAATGCGTTTATAATGGTGGAATCTTCGGCAGGTGGCTTGCCAGATTCGAGCTATCTGGGGGCATGGCCCACTTCCCTATGGCTCCTGGTGCCCTTCCACCGAGCCTGACCTTGGACTGGTGGCTTTTCTGGCACGGGCCAGGGGTGGGCCAAGGGGAGGAGGAGGAAAGGAGCTCCCGGGATCCCCCTCGCCCCTCCCCCACTCGCCCAGTGAGTAATGACATTCACGGGGATGGGAGGGAGGGAGCGAAGGAGAGGGGCAGGCTCGGCGAGGCCATGTGATGTTGGGCGAGAGAGAGCCGCCACCGCCGGAGCCTCCTTCTTTCTTCCCTCTGATTTCGGGCTGTCATGGCGACCCCCAATAACCTGACCCCCACCAACTGCAGCTGGTGGCCCATCTCGGCGCTGGAGAGCGATGCGGCCAAGCCGGTGGAGGCCCCCGAAGCACCCGAAGCGGGCAGCCACGCCCATTGGCCCAAGGAGAGCCTGGTTCTGTACCACTGGACCCAGTCCTTCAGCTCGCAGAAGGTAGAGCCCGGAGGGAGCAGGGGAACCCGACCGATGCACCAGGAGGCTTGGGGGAGGGGATCCGGGAGGGCTTAAGGGGTCTGAAAACCTGGTGAGAGACTGGAGGGTAGAATCGGGGGCTTCGGGGCCCGGAGGATGGGGGAAGCTGGGCTGCCCTCCCGGGAGGTGACTGGCCCTGTCTTGGGCCCCAGGAGCACCGTCCCTAATTCTAGGAACACCCGTTCTGCCTCTTTCCCTCCCAGAAAGACCCGGTCTGTTGAAGAGCTGAGAAGAGAGACAAAGGCAAGGGGAAGGGACTGGGCACTGCTGGGAAGGCGGCCTGTTGGAGGGGGCTGCTGCTGCGGGGAGGGGGGAGGGGCGCTTCCTGGGGTCCAGCCTCCGGCCCCAGTAGTCCCATCGCAGACCCTCCCCCCCTCCCCCCCACCCCCACGCTGCTGTCCCCATGCCACAGGCCTGCGGGTCAAAGCTCCTCTGCCCTTCTGCCCGGCTGGGGGCCTTCTGATTGGGGCTTGAAGGGTCTGACCCTAGCCCTCCCCCCACCCCACCCCCAATCTTGAGCTGAGAAGGAAGGAGTTAACCCATCTCCTCAAACCAGCTCAGCAGGCCCGCAAGGTCTGTGCTTTTTGCTCTTAAAGGCACAGACGGCCACACGGTCCCATCTCAGACTCAGGGGAGCTAGAAGGCGGTTGGGAATGCAGCCTGGTGTTGAGTTATCGGGGTTCCCGCTTCCTGGGGGTGAGGTCCAAACACTGAGCCTGCAAGACCAGGGGCCTCTAGGAGCGCAGTCTCTCACCCTGGGCTGTCCTCTCTGTGGGGTACGAATTCAGCACCATGGCCAGGTCCCAGCAGCCGGTCCTCCTGGAGCCTAAGGGTCACCCATTGCCTGACCCTTCGACTTCTCTTCTCCCTGGAAGATCCTTTTGTTCCATTCACTCATTTTCCAGATGGAGAAACAGATTCCTTAAAGAGAAATGGCCTTGGAACCAGGCTCTTTGGTTTGATTCTTGGTCTAGGCTCAGTTCCATCATCTGGAAAATGGGATGATAATAACAATAATAGCAACTTCTTCTAATTGCAACCCCCTCTCAGGATTGCTGAGGGTTGTTGAACAGGCGGTACTGCTTAGTGTTCTACACTGGCACTGGTCAAACTTGAGCATACATTACTGGTTCAAGCACAGAATACTGGGTCCCACCCCAGAGATTTTGATTCAGCAGATCTGGAGTAGGGCCCAAGATGCTGCATTCTAACAGGCTACCAGGTGAGGCTGATGAAGCTGGTCCACTGATCCCCCTTTGAGTAGTTCCTAGTTTAAAGTACAGACTATGAGGCCAGAAAGTCCCCAGCAGGAGAGCCATCTTCTCCAATAATTCACCATGGAGTTTTTGGCAGGTCACTTTGCTTCCCTAAAGTCTCAGTTTTATAATCTGTAAAATGGAGCTAGTGGCATTACCTTCTTCAGAAGGCTATTGTAATGGTGAAATGAGATGATGCACAAAAAGTGCTGATCGCAGTGCCTGGCATGGTGTCAAGGCTCTGTTCATAACGGGTGTTATGATATCACTAAAGTGCTAGGTAAAGGAGGGGTTGGAGTTAACCAAGGTCATGCTGGGACTCTTCTGTACATGCATGCTGAACACCTACTGCATGCCAGGCTCTATACAAGTTGCTGGGGGGTTAGGGAATGAATCAGACTGACCTCCAGATGCCAGGATGTCCTCCTCCCCAGAACCTCAGGAGCCAGGCCCCAGTGACCAGGAGGTAGGAGGGTGGCCCTTCCCATCACCATTTCCTGAGGGAGCCTCCTGAATATTCCTTATTCAGCATGAGCTCAGGGCTAAGGTGGCCCCTTAGTCAGGGATGGGACCACCCACTGCAATCCCATTTGTGACCAAACCTCTGACCAAGGCAGCCTAGCATTCTCCTGCCTCTCCTGCCAGGGCCTTCCCCTTGCCCAGGGGCCTGTGGTGGGTTCTAGAGGCAGTGTAGCCTGATGGAAAACACATGGGCTCTGCAGTCAGATGGTCCTGGTTCCAGTCTCATCTTGAGTGCTTACTGGCTGTGTGACCTTGGACAAGTCACTTCACCTCCTCTGTGCCTCAACATCCTCATCTGGAAAAGGGGACGTTTACATCCGACCCTGTAGGATTCCTGGGGGACTGAAAGGACAGGGACACGTGTTAAGTGTCTGGCACACAGTATGGGCTTAGCAGGTGCATTTCCTTCTTTTGCATCAGTCCTAGAGGGCCTTGCCTGCATGCAGAGGGCCCTCCCAGACATGGCAGAAGGGAAGTAAATGACCTCTACCTGCCACCCTGGCCTTACTTTTCAAGCTCTTGGGCACTGGCGCCCCAGCCCTGTCCATGCTGCCCTTGACCATTTACCACCCCCTCTCCCACTCCCAGGAGGTCCACAGGCGAGAACTGCACATCTCACTACTCCTCTGCTCAGAAGCCTACAGTGGCTCACAAGTCCTTCCCGGAAAAAGCCGGAGTCCTCATAATGGCCTCAGGCCCTACTGCAGGATCTAACCTTGCCTGGGCCATGGACCCACTCATCATTTGGGGGAAGCCTATGGGCTTTTCTCAGAATAGTACTTTTAATTGAATAACATCAAATACATAGGAGTATTAGATTAGAAGGAAAACCAATCATACTGAAGTAAAGCTACTGACATATTTTCAAAACAAATTTGTTACATAATAATATGTGTTTCTGCATTAACCCATACCCATAGTATCACATGACCTAGTGGCAGGACTAATAACTACTGTAATGTTGAAGTCGTGACGGATGTAAGTGCAGCAACTGTGAAGTGATGAAAATATCTGATTCCTAGTGGTGACAATATTACAGGCACTGCTAACACCACCATGCTTTGTTGCCTACACTCATACTGAAGAGAATGCTAAGTGTCAGCTTGACATGACTGAAAATAAACCTGTAATTTTCCCATCCTAGTTTGAGGACTCCCTGAATTTATTCATAGACCCCTGGGTCTAGGAGTCTCAATTAAATGTCCCTGTGCATGACCCTTTCTGACCTCCTCTCCTTTTGTCACCTCCATCCATCCTGCTCCAGCAGGATGGCCACCTCACCATTTTTCAAACATGTCAGACATGTTCCCACCTCAGGGCCTTTGCACTGGCCGTCCCCTCTGCCTGGATCCCTGTGTGGACTACTCTCTCTTTGTTCTTTGCTCAAATGTCACCTTCTCAGAGAGGCCTGCCCTGATGGGTCGCCCTACTTAAAATTGCCCTGATACCCTGATGCCCTGGCACCCCCAATTTCCCTTACCTTGCTCTATTTTTTCTTTTTTCCGATGAACTCACTATCTTTTTTTTTTTTTTTTTTTTTGCGGTACGCGGGCCTCTCCCTGCCGTGGCCTCTCCTGCTGCGGAGCACAGGCTCCAGATGCGCAGGCTCAGCAGCCATGGCTCATGGGCCCAGCCGCTCCGCGGCATGTGGGATCTTCCCGGACCGGGGCACGAACCCGCGTCCCCTGCATCGGCAGGCGGACTCTCAACCACTGCGCCACCAGGGAAGCCCTGAACTCACTATCTTTTGACACACCATCTCGTTTTAACTGCTTCTCGTCTGTCTGCCTCCACCAGAATGTCAGCTCCCTGAGGGCAGGGATCTTTGTTTTGCTCACGGCTGAGTCTTGAGCACTTAGAACAAGACCTGGCACAGAGTAGGCACTCAATAAATAAGTGTTGAAAAGTGGCGCATTTGTAAGCCATAAGATGTTATATAAAAAAGGCATTTGATTCTGTAGGCCTAAAACTGGTGTAAGAAATAAAGCTTATTAATTTTTTTAAAGTATTTGTGATAAATAAACTAAGACTCAGAGACTCTAAGTGTCTTTTACAAAGTCACACTGCAACTAAGTGGCTGGGCAGAGACGCCAACCCAGCGCATCACAGTTTTCTCATAAACAAGGGCCCGGGTGAGGGGGGACAGTACCTAGCCATGACAATGAAGCACCAGTGGGTGACTTTCAGGCACCCACAGGGGGGATAGTTTGCCCAGAGTTGGCTGATGTCTGGTCACACTGAGTGGTGACCACCTAAGTCTGGCGCAGTTCCAGGAGGCAAAGAAGGCAGATGGCCTTGGTGGCTGCACGCCCTCCCCCTGGGCCTGGCTTCCTCCCCCGCCCCCTCCCCTGCAAGATGGCACATCCTGAGCCTGCAGCTCAGCTAAAGGAGAAAGTCTCCTTGGCTGCTTGCTGGTGTGATCCTGAGGCAGCTCCAAGCAGGACTGTTGTTCCTCTAAAGACAGTCCCCTCCCCAGGCAGGAGCCCCATCAGGCACCCTCACTGGAATTCAAGGGCAGTGCCCAGGGAGTGGTCCCTGGGAGCAGATGCCCTGCCAGGATGGAAGGCCAAACGTCTGGACCCGCCAACGGCAAAGGCCTGATTTAGTTTCTGTTTCCGTCCGTTCAGAGATCCCAGCTTGACCCAGACGCTGGGTGGCTGGGCAGAACCTGCCAGGAGGATGCCAGGGCAGGCAGGAAGGGAATAGGAACTGCCACCTAGGTATGTACAGGGGTCATCGATGCTTAACAGGAATAGACCTTTGCCTCTCTCAGGGGTGCCCTCTCTTTCTCCTGGGCTGGAGCTAGAAGCAGGGAGGAGCAGGTAGGAGTGGAGCTTGCCATCCTTTTGCTGGGGGACCTTAGACAAGTCTAGCCTACTTTCTGAGCCTCAGTCCGCAGGCAGGGGATAGTTGGGCTAGGTGATCGTTAACCACCTGCCAGCTCAGAACTGTTGGGCTGGGTCAGGAGGCTCTCCGTTCGCATCTACCAGGCCATATGTTTGTCTGGGACCTCCTGGAGATTAGGGAAAGACTCAGGAGGGGCCAGGCCCAGGACTCCCTGGAAGGGGCCCCCAGGGCAGTGAACACTGGCCTGAGAGTCAGGAACCATTGCTTCTAGTTTTAGATCTACTGCTAAATTGGCTGTGTGGCTCTGGGTCAGTTAGTTGCCCTCTCTGGACTTTCGTTTTCTCATCAATAAAAACGGGAGATAGGCTCTGCTCTGCCCTCCTCTGGAAGGCTATTGTGAGCATCCAACAACCAGATGGGAAGGTGTCTGGGGACAATAAAGGGCTAGGCTGATGTTGGCAAATTATTTTTCACTTCGCTTTGTTTCTCAAATAATTTGAGAAATTTTGCTACTGATCGTGGTGATGATAAGAATTTCTGCAAATTTCATGGCCAGATTCACGTTTGGAGGACAGGCTGAGAGCCCAATCCTGATAATGAGAATTATGAACTAAGCACTATCTATATACCAGACACTGTGTTGGTACTACTAATTATACTTTAATTCTGCAAATAAAAAAACCATGAAGCCCAGAAAGTGTAACGAATCCGCCCAAACTCACACAGAAGAGCCAGAAATCCTATCCCAGGTACGTCCAGCAGTGACACCCAGCCCCGTAACCACCAGGCAGCTCTGCCCCTTGTCCCCAGGGCAGAGCTCTGTTCCTCCCACCGCCAGACCCCGGGGATGTATCCCCCATCCCGTACCCCAGGGGCCCAAGAGTGGGCTGGAAGCAACACGGTCCCCTCCAGTGTGGGACCCCTGACCTCCCTCCCCGCGCGCCCCGCCCCACCTGGGCAGAGTGTCCCCGTGTGTCCGCCCGCCTTCCCTGCTCTGACCCTGGCGCCTGCAGGTGCGGCTGGTGATCGCCGAGAAGGGCCTGGCATGTGAGGAGCGGGACGTGAGCCTGCCGCAGAGCGAGCACAAGGAGCCCTGGTTCATGCGGCTCAACCTGGGCGAGGAGGTGCCCGTCATCATCCATCGCGACAATATCATCAGCGACTACGACCAGATCATCGACTACGTGGAGCGCACATTCACGGGAGGTACGGCGGCCGCACGGGCCCAGACAGCGCCCCGGAACCTTGGGAAGCCTGGGCAAACCCCGCGGGCCCGGGCTCCCCCACAAGGAACCCCGGGCTACAGGCAGGGCTCATGTGCCCCCCAGGAACCACAGAGCATGGCCACAGGTCCCCGGGGACCCCACAGATCTGACCCCCCCTCCCCGGTACTGAGGGAAAGGGCATGGCCCAGACACCCCCCTTGGAGCGGCTAGGGCTATAGCCTCCTTGCCAGGGGCCTCTGGAGTCACAGGCTCGGCCACAGACACTCTGGAGCCCATCAGGCATGAACGGGACCCAAACCCCCTTCTAAGTCCCCACAGACAGGATCCAGATCTCCCGGGGATGCCAGGGCTCAGCCAGGACCCAGCCCCCTGAAACCCTGTAAGCATAGTCAGGGCCACAGGCTCTTCCGGAACCCCACAGACATGGGCCCGGATACCCGAGAACTTTGCAGACATGAGCAGGGCCCAGCACCCCAGAACCCCTCAGAACCCTATGTCCTCCATCCCTCCTTCCCTCCCTCTGGCCTCGCTCAAGTCCAGAAGCTCAGTGCCCATGGCAGAGGCTGCCGATGCAGCTGAAAGGTCAGGGCCCGGACATGCACTGTTTTAAAAGAATATGAATTAGTTGCCAACATTTAAAAACCAAGGAGAGTGCAATTTCAAACATCCAGGTTTCCAGCTTCTCTCCAAGTCTGGCAACACTAGGCCTAGAGACCCACCTGGCAACAAGCCCGGGCAGGTGAGGAGTTGCCCCTCAGGGGACGGCTCGGCAGGGCTCCAGTGAGGAGAGGTAGGCGAGCAGGATCACTAGGGTCCCCTGTCAGCCTGGTGGGGACTTACTCTCAAGAGTCAAGGAAAGGGGATGGGCCCCAAACTTCTGGACATGTCGCGGTTCCGGGATGCTGAGGTTGGGGGATGGGATGCCAGAGGCTGGCCTCTCTGAATCAGGGGGGCGGGAGGCCCGACACAGGGCCCTGCGTGCCGCCGCCCAGCCCCCGGCCGTGCCCCGCAGAGCACGTGGTGGCGCTGATGCCCGAGGCGGGCAGCCCCCAGCACGCACGGGTGCTGCAGTACCGTGAGCTGCTGGACGCGCTGCCCATGGACGCCTACACGCACGGCTGCATCCTGCACCCCGAACTCACCGCCGACTCCATGATCCCCAAGTACGCCACGGCCGAGATCCGCAGTGAGTCCCGGGGTCGGGGTCGGGGCGCAGAACCCTAGGGTAACCTGGTCTTCGCCCACCTCCTCCCTCTTCCTCCCATTCCTGTATCTCTTACTCACTTTCTTCCCTTTAACTCTCCTCTTCCCCGTGGATATCCCTCTGCCCCTGCCTCTCTCTCCATCCCTGTGTCTGTCCCTGTCTCTCACTCTGGCTCGCTCTCTCTCTCTCTCTGGCTCTCCATCTCACTCACCCTGTTTCGAGCTGAATATGTCTCTCTCTCTCTCTGGCAGTCACTCTCTCTCATTCCCTTCTCCTGCCCCCTCCTCTTATCCTGCCATCCCATACAGAGGCCATAGGGCTATCTGTCCCCCTAGAGGCTTGCCTGTCCATGGGAGCTGGGACACCTCCCCACAGGCATCTCAGCCCCAGACACCTGGGGTTGGCAGCCCAGGGCACTGAGTGACATCAGGGCTGGCATCACCAAGGAAGACTGCCCAGATATTGCAAGGCCCCGGGTCTCTGAGTTCTGATTCAAGCATCCCCATATACTGCCCTAAATGCCAGCCTGATTGTGCCCACGGCCTACTTTATCCTTTCATTTTTTTCAGTACTCAGTAAATAAGTGTTGGATTAAATCAGATCATCCATCAAAAACTGTTTACAGACTTTGGTCCAGGCTCTATGCAGACACCATGGGGTCCAATACACAGATGAAGCATGATGATTCCAAGTAGATAATAGGTGCTCGGTAAATGGTCACTTCCTCTCTCTCAAAGGAATGAGGCTCACGTCCAAAGGTGGGCCAGGTTGTGGCACTCGATTTTGTCTCTTTAGAGTGCCCTTGAACAGGACTCAGGACATATTTATATTGTCCTGTCCCCATTGAGTCAACAACATTTAACAACATTTATGAAGTCTCCTATGACCCAGGCCCTGGGCAGGGGGCTGGGGACAGAAGGGGACTGTCACAGCTTCTCCCCTCCCAGGGTCACAGTTTCATGGAAGCAGAAAGACAGATGACCAGATGATTACAATGCAGGACTAAGTAAACTTGAACAACCTCTCAGGAGGGCAGTCTGGCCCTCTATATCGAGTATTAAAAGGCCCACACTTTGGAGACTGTCCTGCAATGACACTTGGATGTGTGCGCCAAAGAAGTACGTACAAGGATATGCATTGCAGCATAAGGGGTAATAGCAAGAGGCTGGAAATAACCCAGTTGACCATGATTTGGGGACTGGGTAGATAAATTCTGGTACATACAAACAATGAAATACTGTGCAGCTGTTAAAAAAAATAACAGGCATGTGCAATGCTCTCTAAGATATATTAGTAAGTAGGGAGAAAGTGAAGGGCAAAAAAATGCATCTAGTGTACTATCATTAATATATGTAAAAGGGGGTCGAATGGATACACAGGTGCTCGCAAACACAAGGAGTACTTCTGGAAGGACGCATGAGAAGATTGGGAGAGCAGAACTAAGGGACTGCAGATTGAGAGGAGAGAGATTTACTTTTCACTGTATGTTCCTTAATATTGTTTGAATTTTTAAACAAGCATGCATGTATAATCTATTCAAAACTAATTGATTTTGGGACTTCCCTGGTGGTCCAGTCGTTAAGACACCGTGCTTCCATTGCAGGGGGCATGGGTTTGATCCCTGGTCAGAGAACTTAGATTCCGCGTGCCACACAGTGTGGCAAAAAAACAAACAAAGAAACAACCCACATTGATTAAAATTTTTCTAACCTAGTACCAATCAGTGTTATGATAAGGGGAACATAGAGGCAGTGGGGCCAGAGAAGATGCCCATCCCAGTCCAAGAGATGTCCAAGTGGGACTGGGACCCCGGGGAGAGGGCAGGCCAGGTTTGGGTCCCACCACACACCTGGCCCACCATGTCCCATACTTACTGGCTAAGAGTTCCAGAGAAATCCTGCCCCAATCATGGAACAGACCTTAGGATCTTATCCCACTTAATGCTTCCACCTCCTCTTGTAAAACCCACAGCTTACAGCTAGACTTTTAATGTCAGATTATAGGACACTTTGTCTCTCCCATTAAGTATAATTATCAAGGTGCTGCCTTGAGTTCCATCATTGATCCACATTCCATCACCCAGGCCTTTTCAGCATCTTTAAAAGGCCAATTTCCCAGGAAAGGTGGTCAATACGTCCCTGAATCTTCAGGAAAGTTGCCTCACCAGAAGTGGAAGTTTCAAGACACCAAGCTCTCTTATAGTTTTTTTAAAACAAGTTTTTGCCTGTGGATTACAGTGAGTGAGCTCTAGACTGAGAATTGGACAGATCCTGATTCAAAATCTGCTTGTCGTTTACTAGTGTGGAATTTACTAGCCTCTCTGAATCCGTTTCTTCACTACAGAAAGGGGTGAGGGAGACGTTCACTGAAGCATGAGCTTGTCCACATTTAGGGTGATATTCATTTCCGGCAAACTCCTACTCATCCCCTAGAGTCTCCTCCTCAGTGAGGTTTCTTGACACCTTGTGCCCCAGGCAGGTGGTCCTCTGGGTCCCACAGCATTCTGTTCACTCTTCATTAGAGATTGATCATGCTATGTCGTAGGTATCTCTTTTATGGTCTAGGGCAGGATGGCATCTCATCCATCCCTATGTCCCAGCTTGTAATGACATAGTGTCTCCTAGTTATGCCTGTTGATATTGTTACTTCCCGGACTAGAGTTTGAATGGGACCTTTTCCAAGTTGTTGGGGGGAAGGGAAAGGAAGAGTACCAGGTATCAGAAGAACGGGACCTTTCCTATTCTCTCCCCAGGACATTTAGCCAACGCCACCATGGACTTCATGAAATTGGACCATGAAGAGGAGCCCCAGCTCTCTGAGCCCTACCTTTCTAAACAGAAGAAGCTCATGGTGAGTGACCCCAGGCCTGCTCATTCCCCTTTCCCACCATCTTTTCCATGGAAAAGAAGAACTGGAAGAAGCTGGTTCTAAGTAGAGGGTCAGCTGATGATATGAAATGGGAAAACCACTGGTTTGCTTTCCCAATCCTGTCTCCTCTCATTTACTGGCTCTTTGACCTTGAGCAAGTCACTGTTGCCCTGGAGCCTCACTTTCCTAATGTCTTAGGTTGTGTCCCTAAGAGCAGAGCATTGGACAGAGGTTCTGGGGTAAGCGAGGTATTGAGGGAGTGCTCTGCGAGGTATTGAGGGAGCGCTCTAAGGAGAACCCAGTAAGGATGAGATAGGATGAAGAAGGGGCTAAGTTCACCTGATCCCACAGGGAGCTCTGGAGGATAAATGGTGCCACAAAGTCGATCCGCCTTGAGACAAAGGGACAGACTTTTATACCCTTATATCAGCCAATCATTGACCTATTTATTTCCCAAGTATTTCCAGGAAACTCCTCATTGGCTGAGAACAATTCTCTGGAGAAAGGGAAGCTGTGAGCCACTGTCAACCAACTCTCATGGCAGCTGGTGTATGAGAGTACCAGCCCCATGAAAGGGATCTGGCCAGGACAGTCAAGCTCACAGGACTATTGTGAACACAGATGAGGATCCTTTGTAACAGTGGGGGTATCCTACACACTTAAGGGGATACAAGGAGACTGGGTTTGCAGAAGGGGATTTGGGCCAAGAGTCTTCCATCCCTGGTCATCCTTGCTCTATTGAGGCCAACTCAGCTCCTCTAGCACCTGCCTGTCCTGCCCCCAGGCCAAGATCCTGGAGCACGATGATGTGAGCTACCTGAAGAAGATCCTGGGGGAGCTGGCCATGGTGCTGGACCAGATCGAGGCTGAGCTGGAGAAGAGGAAGCTTGAGAACGAGGGTGGGTGCCAGTTCTGGGGTAGGTGAGTGCTGGAGCCCATCCAGCCCACTCTGTCCATGACAGTCCCAGCATCTTTCCCCCCAAAGATCTTAGAGGACCATCCAGGTGGTTAGGATCATGGGCCATGGAGTCAGAAAGACCTAAGTTTAAGTCCTAGCTTGGCCACTTGCTAGTTGAATGACCCTGGGCCACGTGCTTCACCTCCCTAGACCTCAGTTCCCCATCCATAAAATGGAGATAATAATAAGACCGACCTCAGAGAGATGTTGAGACACCGCATGAAATAGTATATGTAGAATGCTTAGATCAGCGCTTAGCACACGGTATTTAATAAAGGCTGTTGAAGACGATGATGGTAATGGTGGTGACGATCATTATCCACTACACCGTCTCCCCGTTCCCCGACTGAAGGACGTATTATGGCCCCTTCATGCTGTAGGAGCCAGACATCTAGGCTCACCCGGACTCTCTGACCTTGACTCTTCCTGTTCTCAAGTGCCTCTCTTCTCTGGACGCTGAGCATGCCAGCTACATTTCCACCTCCACACCTTAGCCCCTGCAGCTCTTCCAGCCTGGAGCACCCTCTCCTTACCACTCTGCTCCCTTTTTGCATCTATACACCATCCTTGCCGCCACCCTTCTTCAAATTTCATTCGGGACCTTCCCATTTTGCTCTATTTTAGGTACCCTGTTAGTCTGGTCTCCTCAACAATGCAAATTTGTGGAACCCATTCAACATGCACTGCTACACTCATAGCTTCACACACACGCACAGATGTCTGTGTATGTGGGAAGGTTGTGGAGCACAGTGTTCTAAAAGATGGGTTTTGAGTGAGACAGATATGAGTTAGGGTCCTAGCTTTGCTGCCTATACCGTGTGACTTGGGCAAGTTCCTTTCCTTATTGGAGCCTCAGTTTCAACATCTGTGAAACAGGATGGTAATAGTAGAATTTAAAACCTAAACTCCATCTTGTTGAACTCTTTAAAAAATGAAAAACACTCAGCACAGTGCCTGGAACATACTAGTTAATTACATATGACAGCTAAAGGCACATGCATTCTCCAGGTGAGAAAACTAAAGCTCAGAGAGATAAAGTGACTTGCTCAAGGTCACACAGCTCTTAAACGGCATAGTTAGCGTAAGAACAGGTTCCCTCTCAATGGGTATAATGTTCTTCCAGCATTTCACAGCTGAGGCCTCAAGCAAATGGCACACACAGATACCTAAGGTCCTAAACAGGAACACTGTCATGCATGCTGAAGCCAGCTGCCATAAATCCTTTCTAGAAAAAGGCAGAGTATGGCTAAATGAGTAAAAACAATGCATACCTCAAGAAGGAACTTTCTCATTTCTATCAGAGAGGGTGCTGGAGAGGGGCCATTACAGAAGAGTGTTCAGGGGCCAATGGAAGTAGCTGGACCACATGTTGCCCATCATCCAGCAGGTTAAGCCAGGCTCTTCATATGATGGTGGTCACAGGGATACTGAGAGCAGCAAGAGAGCAAAGCCCCAAGGTGCAAATATGTTTTAAGCCTCTACTTGTGTCACATTTACGAAAGCCCCATTGGCTAAAGCAAGTGACATGGCAGAGCCAGGATTAAAAGGGTAGAGGGTTGGACTCTGCCTCTTGATGGCAGAAGCAGTACAGCCTTTGCAAAGGGGCAAGCGTGCAGGAATGGGAGGAATTTGCAGCCATTTTTGCAATCTACTCAGGGGTGAGGTGTTCTGATTTTACTTTTAAAAGTACTCTGGTTGCTGTGAAAATGGATTTCAAGGGAGACAGAAGCCCAGATGAGATGGTGGTGGCTTGGACTGAGGTGGTGGCAGTGGAGATGGGGAGGCATGAAAGGCTTGAGAGGTATTTTGGAGATAAAATGGGCAGGAACTTGCTGAAAGGTCGAGGGTATTGGAGGGAGTGGAGTAAGAGGGGATAAAGGAATCAAAGATGACTCATGAGGTTTTGGTCTGAGCTACTGAGTGGTACCATTTCCTGATATGGGCAAGGGGGACCCAAGAGTTCAGGTTTTTTTTAGATTCCGCATGTAAGTGTCATTCCCCAAGAGGGGATGTCACATAAGCCATTAGGTATTCTAGTCTGACTTTCAAAGGAGAGGTCAGAATTTGGAGATGGAGATTTGCAAGTCTTCAGCATATACACGGTGATTAAAGCCATAGAATTGGATGATGTCACCTAGAGGGCAGTGGAGAGAGACAGAAAGAGGAATCAAGACCTGCTTATTAGTTATTTATTGCTTATAACAAACTGCTCCCAAACTCAGTGGCTTAAACAAACAACAAAAAAGCATTTGTTGGGCTTCCCTGGTGGTGCAGTGGTTAAGAATCCACCTGCCAATGCAGGGGACACGGGTTCGAGCCCTGCTCCGGGAAGATCCCACATGCCGTGGAGCAACTAAGCCCACGCGCCACGACTACTGAGCCTGCGCTGTAGAGCCTGCGAGCCACAACTACTGAGCCCGCGTGCCACAACTACTGAAGCCTGTGCGCCTGGAGCCCATGCTCCGCAACAAGAGAAGCCACGCAATGAGAAGCCCGAGCACTGCAACGAAGAGTAGCCCCCACTCGCCGCAACTAGAGAAAGCCCGTGTGCAGCAACGAAGACCCAACACAGCCATAAATAAATAAATAAATAAATAAACAAACAAACAAAAACAGGCAGCAGGCTAGGTTTGAGCTGAGGGCCATAGTTTAAAAAAAAAGGGAAAAAAAAGCATTTGTCATATCACACATTTTCTGTGAATCAGAAATTCCGGAGCAGCTTGGCTGAGTGTTTCTAATTCAGGGTTGCATGATGCAGGGATAGATGCATGATGCATCTATCCCTCCCCCCAACTCTTCCCCCATCTCTAAGTCAAGCCGTTAGCTGGGGCTGCAACACCCTGAGCTGAAGGGTCCACGATGGCTCATTCACGTGGGTGTTCACTAGAGGTGTCAGTTCCCCACTGCTGTTGGCCGGAGACCTCAGCTTCTCGCTACATGGGCATCTTGTTAGGGCTGCTTGAGTTTCTTCACAACACGGCAGCCGGCTTTCCCCTGAGCAAGTGATCCCAGAGAGACAGAAGCAGCGGAAGCCACATGATCTTTTATGACCTACCCTTGGAAGTCATTCTGTCATTTCTGCCACATTCTATTCATTTGAAGCAAGGCATTAAATACAGCCCATATTCAAGGGGAGAAAAATTGGGCTCCACCAAAGAGATAAGTATCAAGTAATATGTGAGCGTATTTTTTTCTTTTTTTAAATTGAAGTATAGTTGATTTACAACTTTATATTTATTTATTTATGGCTGTGCTGCACGGCTTGCGGGATCTTATTTCCCCCACCAGAGGTTGAACCGGGCCCTGGGCAGTGAAAGTGTGGAGTCCTAACCACTGGACTGCCAGGCAATTCCCTACAACGTTATATTAGTTTCGAGTGTACAGTGTAGTAATTCAGTATTTTTAGATTGTACTCCATCAAAAGTCATTACAAGATAATGGCCATAATTCCCTGTGCTATATATACAGTGTATCCTTGTTGCTTATCTACGTTACACATAGTAGTTTGTATCTCTTAATCCCATACCCCTAATTTGCCCCTCCCCCTTCCTTCTCCCTTTTGGTAACCACTAGTTTATTTTCTCTCCCTCTCTCTCTCTCTCTCTCTCTCTCTCTTTTTATGGAAAGGCATTTTATTTTAAATATAGCAGTGTATACATGTCAATCCCAAACACCCAATCTATCCCTCCCCCCAACCCTTCCCCCGTCTCTAAGTCTGTGAGTCTGTTTCTGTTTTGTAAATAAGTTCATTTGTATCATTTTTGTTTTAGATTCCGCATATAAGCGATATCATACGATATTTGTCTTTCTCTGACTCACTTCACTTAGTATGATAATCTCCAGGTCCATCCATGTTGCTGCAAATAGCATTATTTCATTCTTTTTAGTGGCTGAGTAATATTCACTAGTTTATTTTCTATATCTGTGACTCTGTTTCTGTTTTGCATATACATGTGTTTATATTATTTTTTAGATTCCACAGAGAAAGACAAGCACTGTTTCGTATTTTAAAACTACCACATCTGCCCTGAGGCTCCCCCTCATTGAGAGAAGGGTAAAGACAGACGAGCTGGCAAAGCTGATGGGACACAGTGGCCAGTGAGGCGTGAGGACTTCTGTGTCATAGAACCCAGAAAGGATTGTGTTTTAAGGAGGGAGAACAGTGTCAAATGCAGCTGAGAGGCTGAATAAACCAAGGATAGGAAAGCGTCCCTTGGGTTTTGTCCCATGGCTGTTGGTGGTGACCTTGCCAAGAGCAGTTTCACTGGAATGTGAGGGCAATGGCTGAAGAGTGAATGGGAGGTGAGGCGTGAAGATGGCCAGTGTAGACAACCCTTTTGAGAAGTTTCGCTGTAGAGGGAATAGAGAAATGGGGTGGTGTCTGAAGAAGGCTGTGGGGCAAAGGGAGGAATGTTTTCAAGATAGGAGATACAACAGCGTGTTTTCAGGCTGGTAGAAATGCCTCAGTGGAAAGGAGAAATCAGTGATGCAGGACCAATGAGGATTGAGAAGGTGTGCTTCAGGCAGGGTCCCCAGGGGACACACAGGGCACCCTCAAATTGGGTAAATCAAAGAGGCCTTCATAAAGGGACTGTTTACAGATGTGTGGGCGGGACACAGGGAAAGCACAAGGAAAAGTGCAGTACATGGACCTGGGGTTGTGAGCGATGGGGGCAGTTTCAGGAACCAGGACAAAGAGGGCCACCTGACAGGAGCTGTGACTTTCTGGGTTCGATCTCTGGTCAGGGAACTAAGATCCTGCCTGCTGCCTGGTGAGGCCAAAAACAAACAAATAAGCCAGCCCGTGGCAACCTGCAGAGAAAAAACTGAGGGAAGTAAGACTCTGACCTCACCCTCGCCCACCATCCTATCTCCCACCTCTGCTCCCCATTGGCCAAACACCCCTGGAGCCAGAGGGCACGGAGTCCCATCAGTGTATCCGTCAAGTTGGCCTCCTGGGGGGCGCAGAGCAGCGTGGGGAGGGGAGGAGAGTGGCTCTAGAAAGGGAAAGGGAGCATGTGCAGCATTGGGTGGGTGCAGAGGACCACACAGGGCCTGACCTTGAGCGTAGGTGGCTCACACCCTCCCTTGTGTCAGCAGGTGGTAAATGCAGGGGCCTGGCGTTGTGGGTTTCATGGTGGGGGGTAAGGGCTTTCACGTCTGAAGGTTCCTGTTTTCTGAATGAAGCATGAGGTGACGTCATCAACAGAGAAAACCACCAGGTGCGAGGAGAGAAGATGAAAGATGTGCGTCTCTCTGCAAGGGGCGGTGAAGCGAGCATCCCCCAGGGCTGCTACAGGACTGCTACAGGACCCGGGCAGGGCTGCCGGCCCTCCCGGGCTTTGTGGTCAGGATTTAAAGTGTAACTGGTAAGGGTAACTGTCTCCGGCACACTCAGCTGGCAGACTTGGAGAAGGCACAAGACAGGGTTCATCCAGGGCTGCGACTTGGCAAAGAGAACCCACAGCTGCAGGAGCGGGGGAAACCGAAGACCTTCTGTTGACATGCCAGATAGCCAGCTACCCGTGCCCGTGGACGTTATGCAGTCATGGCTAGCAGTATTTGCCTACAAACAGAAACACAGGAATGGACGTACTTAAATAGCGATGCACGCTTACACACTCATGAACATCTGTCTGCAGGCAACCACCAAGTGCACGTGGGCATACACTTCACTTATGCATGTGGTAATCCCCCCACTGCATGCACACAGATGCCCATGTGTGCAGCTGTCTACATGCTAATACACAACCAGCTTCATGGATTTGAGCAGGCATTCACATGGGTAAACATACACACCATGCTGGATGCAGACACATAGGTCCCCACACATACCCAAATAAAAATGTACCCATTGAAAGAGGCCTACGTGTCAGTGGAGATACATACATATGTATGATGAAGTACTCTCTCAGGTAGATGTCTTACATTTGACAGCAGCTTAGATTTGTTGAGAGACAGTGCCCTGTACTCCCTCTTGTTACCAAGGATAAACTGTTCTTGAACTAGCTAAGCCTAGTCCCCTCCCTTGTGTACTTGATGCCACCCACGCTCATCCCTTCAAGGACACCACATCAGTAATTCTCTCCACTCTCCTGTAGCATCACCTCCTCTCGGCTCGATCATTCCCATTAACGTGCTGTTTTCTTCTTCCCAACTTACAAAGGCACTCTTTTTAAAAAATAATTAATTAATTTATCTTTTCATTTTTGGCTGTGTTGGGTCTTTGTTGCTGTGCACGGGCTTTCTCTAGTTGCGGTGAGCGGGGGCTACTCTTCGTTGCGGTGCGCGGGCTTCTCATTGAGGTGGCTTCTCTTGTTGCAGAGCACGGGCTCTAGGCGCGCGGGCTCAGTAGTTGTGGCGTGTGGGCTCAGTAGTTGTGACTCCTGGGCTCTAGAATGCAGGCTCAGTAGTTGTGGTGCACGGGCTTAGCTGCTCCACAGCATGTGGGATCTTCCTGGACCAGGGCTTGAACTCGTGTCCCCTGCATTGGCAGGCAGATTCTTAACCACTGCACCACCAGGGAAGTACCCCAAACACTCTTGACCCGTCTCACATTATCGGCATATCCTTCCCATGACAGCAAAACTCCTTGAAAGGGTGACCTTTGCTCACCGTCTCTGATTCCTCTCCTCCCTTTCTTTCTTGGACTCCCTCCCAACCAGGCTTTCAGCGTCAGCATCTACTCCCACTGTTCTTGTCAAGGTCACCAGTCGCCAAATGCAATCGCCAATTCTCAGCTCCTTTTCTGTGACTTCCCGGCAGCGTCTGAAGTCAGCTGAGCACTATGTCCTTGGAACACTTTCTTATCTTGGCTTCTGGGACACCACACTCACCTGGGTCGTCTCCCACCTCACCGGCTACTCCTTCGCACACTCCTTCACTGGTTGCTTCTTGTTGCCCAATATCTAAATCTTGAGGCCCCGAAGCTCAGTCCTTGGTTCTGTTCTCAGCTCTGTCTCCACTCACGCCCTTGATGATGCTGTGCACCTGTACCTCTAACTGCAGACACATCATCTCCCCTCAGAAGTCTAACAGGCATCTGGAAGATTCCGTATTCAAGAACAAACTTCTGATCAGTGCCTTCATTACACTTTAGCTCCTCCTCCCCTGAGACTGTGAGCCTCTGGAGGGAAGACATTTGTGTCTTGTCATGTCTTCATGCCCAGCACATACTACCAGATAAACATTTGTGGGATGAATGAATGAACATGAGGACACAGAGTGAAAGGGGGAGGCTCAGGCTGTGAGGGTGAAGGGTATTAGACTCATGGAATTTCTGAGCTGAAAGGAACACCTCTACAAAAGGGCAGAAGCAAGCTTCCCAAGAAAGCAGACCTCACCGGAAGTGGAGAGGAAGGGGAGAGCATTCCAGGCATGAGGTGCAGCAGGGGCAACGGCCCAGAGGCCAAAATGGGCGTGGCTTGCTTGAGGGGAACAGTGGGTAAGTGGGCAATTTGTGAGAAGTGAAGATCAGAGAAGTACTGGGTTGGCCAAAAAGTTCGTTTGGGTTTTTCGTAAGATGTTCTAGAAAAAAGCAAACGAACTTTTTGGCCAACCCAATACATTGGAGCTCATCCAACTACTGAAAGGGCTTAAAAGCCACGCAGAGGAATCTGGACATTAATGTGTAGTCACTGGGGAGAATTTCAGGTTGTTGAGCAAAGCAGTGATGAAGGAGACCAAAGGGGCTCCAGAATTTCAAGTCTAGTGTTTCCTAAATACACAGGCTAATTTTAGATGTCACGTGACCATGGCGATAAATAATATAAAACCACGTGATGAGAATTATTCTCTTTTTAATTCTTTTGATTGTATTAAAGAAAGAGTGTTAGTATGATGCTAGTATTTAATTCCCATAAAGGGGTTATGTATTAATACCTGCCCTTTTCTTCAAACAAATAAATAAGTCTTGGGCTCAGGGATTTTGGGCAGGCAGTAGTATCCAGCTGGAATTTAATAGCATTTGTTTTGTTTTTTGTTAAATGTACTTTTATCATTGCACATAGGTTATGGCAAATGATACTCTTAGTGATAGTTTCTTTTCTCATTCATCACTCATTAAGTAAAGATTTAGTGAGCCAGGCACTGTTCTAGGTGCAGGGGATACAGCTGTGAACAAGACAGACCCAAATTCCTGCCCTCATGGAGCTTCCATTCTGGTAGAGGGTGGCAGCCAATAAACAAAATGAGCATGTACAGTATATGGTGGAACACTGGGGAAAAGTTGTATGGAAGAAAACAGAGCAGGGGAGGAGGACAGTAACTGCTGGGATTGGGGTTTCAATTTTAACTGGGTGGTCAGTGAAGCCCCCCGAGAAGATGGCACTGAGCCAAGACCTGAAAGAGGTGGAGGAGTAAGCCCTGTAGCTCTGTGGGGGAAGAGCGTTCCAGGCAGAGCAAACAGCAAGTGCAAAGGCCCTGGGGTGGGAACGTGCCTAGAATGAGGAGCTGCAAGGAGGCCAGTGTGGTTGAAGAAGGGTGAGTCAAGGAGGGGGACTTCCCTGGCGGTCCAGCGGTTAGGACTCAGCACTTTCACTGCTGTGGCCCTGGGTTCAATCCCTGGTTGGGGAACTAAGATTCCGCAAGACATGAAGCACAGCCGAAAAAAAAAAAAAGAGTGAGTCAAGGGGGAAAAAGTAGACTCCTAGGTCTGAAAGGTACCTGGGGGCCAGATCACGTAGGACCTTTAGACCATTAGAAGGGCTTCAGCTTTGACTATTACAGGGGGTCATTAAAGGGCTTTGATCAGAGAGAAGGACATGATCTGACTTAAGATTTAACAGGATTCCTCTCTCTGCTGTGCTGAGAATAGACTCTAGGGAGTCAAAGGCAAACGATAATGGTCGTTAGGACCAGGATGGTCACATCGGAGGTAACATCTAACTTCGGATGTATTTTGAAAATAAAGCTGATGGGAACTGCTGACAAAGTGTATGTGGGGTGTGAAAGAAAGAGAAGAATTCAACATGGCTCGCGTGGCTTTTGGCCTGAGTGGCTGGAAGGATGGAGGTGCTGTTACTGACATGGGGATGAATGTGGTGGGTTTGGGGGTGACGATCAGTTTTGGACATGTCGCGTTTAAGATGCACAGTGGACTCGCAAGTAGAGCTGGAAAATGGGCAGTGGGATATATGAGTCCAGAGTTTAAATACATATATTTGCATTTAATAAGTCAGTTGATTTAAAGAAAACAAATAATAGAGGTAGTATATGCATCTGGCAAAAATCATGAAAGAAGTGCAGGAGTGGGTGACCTTGGGGGAACACTATAGCGGGCAGACAGAAGCCAGAGGCGTCACTGAGAGAGGAGGGTGTGTATGGCGGAAGAAGAGCTGACTCCTCCCCTCCCCCATCTCCTGTCACTTCCATTCTAGGGCAGAAATGTGAGCTGTGGCTCTGCGGCTGTGCTTTCACCCTTGCTGATGTCCTCCTGGGAGCCACCCTGCACCGCCTCAAATTCCTGGGACTGTCCAAGAAATACTGGGAAGATGGCAGCCGGCCCAACCTGCAGTCCTTCTTTGAGAGGGTCCAGAAACGCTTTGCCTTCCGGAAAGTTCTGGGCGACATCCACACCACTCTGCTGTCAGCAGTCATCCCCAACGCGTTCCGGCTGGTCAAGCGGAAACCCCCATCTTTCTTTGGGGCATCCTTCCTCATGGGCTCCCTGGGTGGGATGGGCTACTTTGCCTACTGGTACCTCAAGAAAAAATACATCTAAAGCCAGGCCCCGGGCTTGGTGTCTGACTGTTGGTGTCTCTGTCCTGTGTGATTCCCAGTGAGCTCTCAGTAACGCACCGTCTCATGCACACTTGGACAGCCCCTCCCACCCCTTGTTTGGAGCAATTCTATCGTCAGTCTGAAAACATTCCATAGTTTAGGAGTAGATGTTGCCAGTGCCGTGAGTTGAGGCCACGGTTCTACTGAAGGAGAGAAAGAGTGAGTGGGAGAGAGAGAGAAAGAGAGAGAAACAAACAAAAACACGAATGCCTTTTTTTTTTCGATTCAAGGTCTCAAGATGGAACTGTGGGGACTGGTTAGGATCCAAGGTGAGTCCCAGGTCATTTCATTCACCAGGGCCCAGATTCTGGGAGGTGCTGGGGGCTCGGAGGGCCTGACCCCTCACCTCCCCTTCCCTCTTGCCCAGGGAACTCTTCCACAGGACAAAGCCAACATCAAGACTTGACTCTTCTAAGCGCTACCTCCAGGTGGGGCTGGAGATCTGGAGACCCCACGGGAGGCCCCTGAAGACTGGAAGGGGCTTCATTCTCCTCCTGGAAGTGAACTGAGACAGCACTGGCCGAGCCAAGGCAGTGACTTCCAGCCACAGGCCATGTCTGGGGCCGACACCATGAGCACACCCTCCCATTCCCCTCTTGATTTGGCCAGTGTGCTCTGGTCGGGCACTTTACTGGAAGTCCCTGAAGGCAGTGTCCATCCTCCTCTTCCCACCCGGAGCTGAGTTTTCCCACCATGTGAGGTGGACTTTCAGGAAAAGCCACATTGATCTTCTCTCGGAAGTTCAGCCCTGGCCGGAGAGCAGGGGTGGGTCTGGAGGTGGATGTCCCTCCTCCAGCCTCTGCCAAAGCCATCTGTTAACGTCTGCCTTCCCCTTCACTCTCGGGGCTCCCCCCACACCCTACCATGCCATGCAGGGGGGGTTCCGCGTCCACGCTGCCCGTCCTTGCGGCGTCTCACTTCCCTGTGCCTTTTGCATGTTGGGAGAGGGTCTGGGTGTCACTGCCGCTCATGCTTAGAAACCACTGAAAGCCCCCAATAAAAGCATCAAGGAGGAGCAGCTGCTTTTCATTTCTAAATCTGTGTTGCCCATCTAGTTCTCGTTTCCAGAGTTTGGGGCCAGAGGGGTGGAGGTACGACGTTGAGACTCAGTGAGTCTGACTCTCCTGACTCTCACCAATGTTTTGACCATTTCACTTCTGGTGAGAAGGAAGAGATGACTGATGGCTGCTTGGGGGGCCCAAGGCTGGATCTGGGGAGGCCGGGTCTTTTGTTTGTTTTTTGGCTGCACCGCATGGCTTGAGGAATCTTAGTTCCCCAACCAGGGATCAAACCCGGGCCCAAGGCAATGAAGCTCTGAGTCCTAACCACTGGACTACCAGGGAATTCCCACAGCCAGGTTTTATCCAATAGGAAAGGATAGGATGTTAGAGCACATGTCCAGTACTTTAAGGCCCAGCTGTTGAAGAGGGTCATGTGACTTCCACACACGGTCCATGGGTGAGAATTTAATTACCAGGCTTCACCCAGCTGCAAAGGAGGCTGGGAAATGTAGTCTGTGATTGGGCAGCCTATTGCTAAGGAAGGAGAGAACAGATCCTGGTGGACAGCCAGCAGCCTCTGACATAAGGAAGCACTGAATGGGAAGAGGCCCAGGTAGACTGCTGGAGAGAACCATAGACTCAAAGACTCCACAGGCCCCACCTGCCAGTTCCACATGTGCAGAAACTGAGGCCTGGGAATGGGCATGTGTCTGGTTTGGTCAGGATCGCACAACAAGTGAGCTAGAGCTAAGTGTCCTTTCCCTGGTCCCTTTCTGTCTCGGAATGTCATGGAGAGCAGCTCGGGTGTGGAAAAGCGTCAACATGCGTACGTTTACTCAGGATCCATCAGCAGCTGAGCCTTCTACCAGGTGCCATGGAGGGTTGCAGAGATAGATGGACAGGGTGTGGGGCTGAGTTCAGTCTAGCTGGGAAGACAGACACCACCACCGCCAGGACTGCGGTAATGGGCGCCCCCAGTGTTTACAATGCTAAGAAGGTCTATCCAACATTCACAGAAGGATGCCTGTTGGGGAGGACGGTAAGGGCTGCTGAAGGTCATATCTCCTTCAGCTCATTGGCTGCTCACTGCCAAAGTCACAGAGTCATCTGCCCGGGCCATTCCAACGCTATCTCAAAAGACCTGTTTGGTCCTCCCCTAGCAACCTGGGCCCACATTGCCTAAAACCCTCAGTTTTCTCATCTCTAAATGGAGCTAATAATAATAATGGCAGCCGTCCTTTGAGTACTAACCAGGTACTAGGAAATTCACAGAAATTATTTCTAAGTCTGCAAAGCATAGCTTTTTATGTCTCACTGATGAGGAAACACAGGCTCAGAGAGTTAGCACCCAAGGTACAAGTGGTAGATTGGATTTTTGGATTCCCTAATAGGGTTATACACCCACAACCCTTGCCACGTGACTTTGTAGCACCTCCCACCGTGGGGTGGACTTTATTCCCTGCCCCATCAGGGTACTGTCCATGTGACCAGCTTGGGCCAGTGGACTGTTAGTGGAAGGATGTGATGGGAGTAGAGGCTTTAAACGTACCATGTGGGTGCCTCAGTGTTCATCACGAGAAGAGCAGGCCCCAGGTAGTTGCTGCCCTTTTCATCTGGACCTTAGAATGAAAGCAGAACAGACTTGAGCCCAGCTTGTGGCCTCGAACCAAGGCCAGCTGGCCCACTGCCTGAAGCAGAGCTCACCAGCTGAGGCCAGCCCATATCTGCAGAGCTGCAGCTACCTGTGAGCATTTGCTGTCATAAACCATCAGGTTTGGGGGTTATTACTGCAACAGCTCACTAATACAGTAGCAGAGCTGGGATGAAGCCAAAGCCCTTCCTGTTTTCTCTATGGCCTAGGCTGTTGGGAACTACAGCTGAGATAATTCAGTAAAAATGTCAGGCAGCGGGATTCCCTGGTGGCGCAGTGGTTGAGAGTCCACCTGCCGATGCAGGGGACACGGGTTCGTGCCCCAGTCCGGGAAGATCCCACATGCCGCGGAGCGGCTGGGCCCATGAGCCATGGCCACTGAGTCTGCACGTCCAGAGCCTGTGCTCCGCGACGGGAGAGGCCACAGCAGTGAGAGGCCCGTGTACCGCAAAAAAAAAAAAAAATGTCAGGCAGCAGATTTAAAAATTCAGAACAAATGCTGTTAGTTGTTATTGATTTTAGTCAATGCTATATTTAAAAAGTTATATTAAAGACACCGAGCCAGTTCAGGTTATTGGGGACATGTAGAAGTTACAGTGCCCAGGCTTCTGAGAGAGACATTCACCAAGCAAAGTAAATCTCTTCAGTAAAAAGCAGTCCTCATAGGCACCCAATATTTTAAAGTTTAGAACTTATTTTCCTACCCATCATTTCATTAAATCAGTCAAAGACCAATGACGTAGAAAGAATCATCCCCATTTCATAGATGAGTAACAAGCCCAGAGAGGTTAAGTGACTTGCCTAAGATCACACAGCTGAGGGAATGATAGGCAGGATTTGAATACAGTCTGCTTGCTCCAGTCCAAGGCTTCTAATAACTCTGGATAACTCAGCTTCCGCCACGACCTGTTCAGCCCTGCATCACTGCCCAGCAGCATGGGGCCCATGGCAGATGAAACATGCTCAGGAAATGCAAATGGAAGGCAAGAAGGCATGAAAGGAGTGGAGCTGGGAAAGGGTGACAGCAGCTAGATCAGACAGGGCCTGAATACCTTTGCTCCAGGAATTAAGATGTCAATCAGGGGTGGCTCCCAGGCTCCCCCATCTACTCACCTCCTAGGCACTCAGACACACCCTTGGGGAGCCATACCCCGGCAGAGAAGGCAGGAGAAGTGATAAGTCTCCCAACCCAGTCCCTCAAATACGCAGCCTGGAAACCAGGGTCAGGCAGCCCTTAGCTTACCTGCAAGTGGACAGCACCTCAAACACCTACTTTACCTTGGTGCAAAGGACCCCACAGGTACACGGATGTCCTTTCCCCTCAGCTCTCCCGGAAAACACTTCTCTCACTCTCCCCCACCTCCTAGTTAGCCCTGAAACCAGACTATAGTCTTGGAGACTCCATTCATTCTAGAGGTCCTGGGACATGGCCTTCCACATTCGACTGTATGTTTTAACTGCCTCTGAGTCAATAAAAATTAAAACACTGACATGTATGGTGTTTCTTTTTCCTGAATTTTTTTTTTTTTTTTTTTTTTGGCCACACCATGCGGCACGCAGAATCTTAGTTCCCCAACCAGGGACTGAACCCGTGCCCCCTGCAGTGGAAGCGTGGAGTCTTAACCACTGGACTGCCAGGGAAGTCCCTCTTTTTCCTGATTTTAAAGTAGTTATAGTATAGATGGCACATTAGGGACTTATTGTGCACTTGAAAGACTTTTATATAGTGCCTCCCATAGACTAGGTCCTGTCCTAAGTAAGCCCTTTTCAAGTATCAATTCATTTAATCCTCACAACAACTCTACAAGGTAGGTACTTCTATTATCCCCATTTTACAGATGAAGAAACTGAGGAACTTGTTCAAGGTCACACAGCCAGTGTGTATGGCAGAGGCAGAATAATCTCCTCCGTCCTTTGCTTTTCTGAGTGTGTTATGTAAATCATCTCTGCCTGATCTGGGACAATGTTGGGGTAGCGGAGGGGAACACTCTGCTTTTGACGCTTAGCACCCTGTTTGGATGTGCTCATTTCATTGCCTGTGCCTGGCTAGACTGAGGGCAGAACCGTGTCTCTGAATTAACACCGTGTCCAGCATAGTGCCCCTCACCTAGCGGGGCAATGGATGTCGAATGAGGTGAGGCATTATCCTCACCTTACCCTTCACAAAGAGGCTCAGAGATTCTGACCTGACCGAGGGCACACAGCTGTAAGTTCTAGTCAGCACGAATGCAGAGTCTTTCTGCCACCAGATTCTGTGCTAAATATAACACCATTTATTCTTTGTTGTGACTGCATTATATTCCTGATATGGTTACCATAATTTATTTAACCAACTGGCAACAGTTAGATAAATCTTGACAACTTTGCACTACCACAAATAGCTGCAATAAAATCTTTATGTTTATCTTTGCCCACCTCTAATCTTTGTGTTGATCTTTGCCCACCTCTAATCTTTGTGTTGATCTTTGCCCACCTCTATGAACATTCCCATAGCCTAGGTCCCTAGACTGAGATTGTTAGGTCTGCACATTTTTTTGTTTTGTTTTTGTTTTTGGCTGGGCCACACGGCTTGTGGGATCTCAGTTCCCTGACCAGGGACTAAACCCGGGCCACGGAAGTGAAAGCCTGTAATCCTAACCACAGGCCACCAGGGAACTCCCAGGTCTGCACATTTTAAGTTTGGATACGACAAGGTTACCATCTAATCATGTGGGCCCAATTTACCATCTCCCCTCTCCCTAAGGTATGGGAGGACCTGTTTTCTACGCTGTGTGTGTTCAATTTTAAAACACCCCAGAGGCTGTATTAGGGGTTTCTGGGACAATTTCTGAAGGTGACTATACTGCACGGAGTTTCCCTTAACAGAATCTACCCTCTCCTTGATATTGAAATTGGTTTGATTTTGGAGACCTTTTTAAAAAGCCTTCTGCGGTTCATCCCTCTGGGAGCTAGGTCCAGCTCCCCATGTCCAGGAAGTCCCTATGAAGCCAAGCAATGAGGTCTAAACTGCATTAGGCTGTCGATGCAGAGAAAAGCAGGGGTATGATAAAGTGCACCCAGAGATCAGCTCCCCGATCACTCACCGGGAAGCCAGCTGCCACCTCACCTGAGTGGGAGCTTCTTTTCACGTTGTTTCCTTAAATAAAAGTCATAACCAGCTTGGGAAGAACTTTTCATCAAGCGAAGCAAAGAAATAGAATAGAGCAGAAGAGTTGATGAGGTTAACCAGTCTGTGCCCGTCATTTATCAGATAAGGAAGTTGAGACCCAGAGATGTTGAGTGACTCGGCCAAGGTCACACAGAAGAGCAGAAAAAGCAGTGGTGGAAGCCAGCTCAAAGCCGGACATTCACACTTCTAGCTGA